CTGCTATTTCAAGAATTGAATCCTATGGAAAAACAAAGTACAATGATATGGAGAAATGGGATACACATAAATGTTTCTTCCTCTATAGGAAAAAATATACTTTAGAGGGGGAAAACCCCCGACTGAGGCCATCAGTTCAAAAAGTAAGTTTAAAGAACACTGACTGAGTTCTTTCCATGTACAAACCACAGGAGGATGAGGAAGCAAAGGCTGTTAGAGTGGATTGGGTGTACACGGGACATGCTGGCTTCCACATATAGATGGACTTCTCTAACTTCAGACACGTATAAATATTCATATTCCTCAGTTTTTACTCCAACTTTCTACCACCTCTCCTCTGCATATTTCATTAGTCTCCATATATGCTGTCAGGGTGATTGTATAATGAAAATCTGGTCCTATTCTTAAAACTGTTAACTATGCCCACAGAATAAAGTTTGCTCTCACTAAATTGGTTCTGTTTTCAGATCCCTGCCCACCTTTCCATTCTCATTTCCCATCATTCCCAAATCTTGCCCCAGTTCATAGCCTCAAGCTCATTGTCTTTGCACAAGTTGACCTGCTTTCATATAAGGGTTTTTTTTTTTCATGACCCACATCTGCACCTCTACCTTCTGTCTATTAAGGTGTAGTCACCTTTCCCAACCAAGGCTCACATCTCTTCTGGGAGGATGTTTCTAACTACCTTAACTCTTCAATTTATTCCAGGAACATGTATTAACTTCAATACTTATTTGCCTATCTACCTCCCATACCAGATTATGAGTTACTTGAAGAACGTGAGTGGAGTTTTATTTCAATATCATTATATCAACAGCCAAGACACATGCTCAGTACATTTTGTTAAATTTTGATGAATGAGTGAATGAGCAAATGGGTTAATGAAAAAAACAAACAAACCAGTTTTGGCACATACCTAAGAATATAGCTTTATAATGTAACAGACAAATGTCTACTTATTTTAATGCAGTGAAATGTAAACACAATTTCAGTAATGAACATGTTTGTAGCTACTGTTGACTATATATCTAAAGGGGTGATTAGGTATCTAAGGTTAATACTTTCTGTTAGCTGCTTTAAAAATCAGTAAAATCTAAAATATTATAGAAATTTTTCAGATTTCAAAACAATACATTTCTTTCACACTACTTCAGTAATGGTGTCTGACACTTTCTCTGGAAAGAGATAGGGAGGAAGAGAGAGAAGTAAGGAGAGACAGAGGGAATTGAAATGATATGGGGAACCAAAACATACAAGAGGAAAAGCTCCTACATTGTATGAGGAACAAATTGCTTAGGCTATTTCTTCATGGAGAAAATTCAATTTGCTTTTGCAAGTTTGAGATTTCTTGTTTATCCTGTACAAATGATGCAGTTAGGTCTTTACTACAGAAGTAACATCTCTTGCCTATGAATTACATAGATTCCTTTTACATATTCTGGTAGCCTAACTTTAATGCTGATTAAATGTAACATTTTACTATTATTATATAAGCCTAGGTAGTTAAGACATCAAGTTTAAATGTTGGCTACGAAATAACCAATGATTTTGGGAAGGTATACTATCCGCTGTCTGACTGCAAACTCATTGATGACATTAGGGTTCCTTTTGATTCAAGTTCATCAAAGTTGTTAGGCACAAGTGGGAAGGACACAGGAGTTTGTATGCCAGGATAAGTATAAAGTTGAGAACGAGCAAGTCAACAAGCCATGTCCAGAAGCAGAATTTCAGGGGCTGAGGTAGCAGAGACTGAGCCAAAGTGACAGGCAAGGGCCAGAATTTTCCTCCACAAGGTTGCAAATCAATTAGTACAACATAGTACTTAATTAGTACAAAACATTCTACTAATTTTGAAAATCAGTGTCCTACTCAAGACTTGATTGCCCAAAAACTGAGAAATTGTGCCTTGAAGAAGATGGGATTTTCTGTGGACCACCTCATAGAAATAAAATTTATTTGAAAATATCTCATATATGGTAAATAATATTTTATGTTCTGTATCTTAAAATTTAAAATGAGATTTATATCTCTCTCAATTCCTCAACCAAAGGACCCAAATGAAATTAAACTAATTTCATTTTATTGATTTAATTACTTTAATGATCCTCAATAGAAAAACTCTATATCTGCTTATTAGAATAAAGCATAAACTTACTAAGATATATTAAAATATATTTTATAAAACATGGTTGTCAAAAAGTATTCTGATAAATTAACAGTGAATTATCCTTTAAAATGATAAATATATATTGTTACTAGCTATTAAATTTTATAATTACCAATAACTTATAAATTCATGATTAAAAAATACTCATAAAAATCTATTATTTCCCATGGGTTTAAGATATTTCTTAAATAGAACCTAGGATTGGATATATATGGCCTATTTTTCTTTTCTGAGATAAATGAAAACATTTTATATAGTAAAATCATCATAAATAATGTTTAATGTCTTACCCAATATAGTTCAGCCTAGGAAAAATAATATATAGTCAATAATTCAAATGTTTTTAGAAGCTAAAATTTGTTTGGTATAGATGACTGGTTAGTTTCTATAATAATTTATTTAACTGGAATCTTTAAAAAAATGCTGCTGAATCGATCTAAGAATTTATTAAGGCTTAATCTGGTTGAGTTCATGACATACAACTGAAATTCCTTGGAATATAATAACAGCTTTTACTACTTTAATTTCAAAGAAATGGTTAAAATAAGATTTATCAATATGCTAAGTTGCCATTAAAGTGACTTTCTGGCCTATTAATGATTTTGAATTCTACGTAATTTACATCTCTAATCTTATGTACAGTAATCATATCTAAGGCTAATGAAATTTTTTGGTTATTCAAAACTAAAGAATTTAAGACAACATAATGGTACTTTCATTCATATGTGTTAACTAGGTTTAGAGTTGAAAGATGAGCACAGTGTATGAACATAAAGTAGTAAAAAGATTCAGAATGTATGAAAATGAGAAAAATATTTTGTGGGGCTTTTAGTACATTGATATATCTTTTCTGACAGCAACATCAAAATGGAGCAAAAACATAAAGATGTTCATACTTTTAACTCAGTGATCTCACTCTTGAGAAAAAATTAAATGGATGAGAAGATGAATGCGTGAAGATATTCTCAGTAGCATTCTATAATATAACAAATAATGGGAAACTATCCCATTAGTTAACAAGAGAAGTAGTGATCATGTGATAACAATGTCTGACATAAAATTTATAATTCAATCTTTAAAAATAAGGCTAGGGAGCAACATGGAAAGGTTTATGATATAATGTTAATGGTTTCCACAATGTAATGACAATAATGTAAAATATATGTTCATGAAAACAATAGTAAAAGTTATATACAAATGAAATTATTATTCATATTATTAATATTTAATCATATTGGTATGACTCATTTAAAATTAAAATATTAGAGTTACTTATTAATTATACGATTTCTTTTCTAAATTCTAGTACATAGTGCTACTAAGTCTATTTGGAACACTGAAAAGGCTTGTGAGTTTTATTCAAATGAGGTGTCCTGATGAATCATCACCACTTTGGTGATTCACAAATACTGCAAGGTACCCTTCAATGGGGTCTAAAACAATAAATTGAGCTATGAAAGTAGAAACACTTTTTTTACTTTTTTTTTTTTAGGTGTACATTTTGGCTATTAGGCTCTTCTGACTCATTGTCACTACCAATTTCCTCAAACATTCTTAGAATATTGAACATGTGCTGTAAATTTCCACACATTTTTTAATCCTAATCAGTAGGTTGATTCATGGATCAGATAAGGAAAGTATTAGAGAGCCAAAGGCTGAGGTTTCCAAAAAGGAATTAAGGTAAAATGGAAGTAAATTAGGTGGGAGGTAAAACTGAAGTAAATTAGAAGAAAAAAAGATCTGTGGCAAAGGTGGCAAACTCAAAGGCTACAACAATAGGGGCCAAGAGATAACAAAATTGAGTGTAGCAGGCTGGGTATAGGTAATAGGGAGTGAGGGGCTGTGGCCAACTGCAAAGCTTGCTCTATTTAAAAGCAGCAATCACTACATAGCTCCAACAGGTTGCTGACATGAATGCAGACCTAGGCCTGCCAGATATTCAGAATCATTCGAGAGAGACCAGAAATATAGATGACCATGTGAAATCTCTGAGGTTCACGCTGTTGACAACTAACTGGAATTATTTTTAATTTTTAATTCCTTGTGATAGACAAATAATTGTGCCTTTGAGCTTATTTTGTTTCATGGGATTCCTTTCGGTGTGCTACCTCTGATCTATAGGTAACATGTAGGGACTTCTTGAAAGGATGATCTTTATTTGCCAGAGGTTACATTTTCAAGTGAGGCCCTTTATAGAAAAAATAAAAATAAAAATGCAAAACAGTGAAGCTAAAGTAAATTGTGAGCATATCAGTAAGTGTAAATCAAAAAGGGCCTGCAATCTATAAGAACGTTATAATAAGACCTATGTGTTCCTGAAGAGCAAAATCTTAGAGGATTTTACTTTTATTTCTCTATAAGGTTTGAGGAGACATTCTGAGTCACTACAAAAGGAGATTAGGCCGAAAGGCTTTTTATAAAGATGGCTCCATCTACTGAAATTACATTTAAAACGATCAGAACAAAATGACAAAATTTGACCAAGATGGAATTGCTATGAGCTACCAAATTGCAAATAGGATGCAGGTGTGCGTCTTGTGCTGTGCCTGTTGCTAGTTTCCTTTTTTCTATCTCATTTCTTCCAATTCTCATTTTCCATCCTTGGCTGTTGTTAAAAGAAAGTCCCCGGAGACTCCTAAGGAATGATGGTCTGGCTGAGTAAAGGAGGAAACAGGATGCTAAGTGTAAAGGCGTTTTTACTTGAGCTGTAGGAATTTACCCGTCATCAAAGTTAGACTCTGTGGATGGGTGGGCGTGAGTGATTGGAAGGAAGGGGGAGCTGTCTATTCAACTAATCATTTGCATCACATGCACCCAAGGAAAAAATGTTTACCTGGTGGAGCCACGGTTAACCTTTTTTCCTTGCTGAGCCGGTGCCCTTGGATGAATTCACTCATGGAAGGGGGGCCCTTCAGAAGAAATGATTCTGTGGAGGTGGGATCAGGGGGAACTCTTAATAAATTCTGTAGGTAGGAAGCCCCTGAAGTCCTGGGACGGCTCTGATCACAAAGGGAAGGTGAAAATTGTCTTGCAGGAGATCCAAGAAAATACATATAGGAAACAAAAAAGTTTTACTTTAATTACCTTTCAAAGCCTCACCAGTGACAACATTATTTATACTGGCATTTAATTTTTTTAACATGTAAATCAAGATTTTGCTCATTGTTTAGTTTCCACACCAGGATACAACCCTATTTGGAAACTGTATTGGATACTGAAAACGAGATTTATTATAGTTAGTCAGTTTGAACCACAAATAGAAAATATTTATATTATTTGATTCCTTACTGAAAGCTCCTAAAAGAAAAATTGTACCATTAACTGAAAATACAGGGTAAGTAATTCAATATCGAAGACTCTGGAAAAAGGTCAGAAAATCAAGCCACTAAAAACTTTACAAGTGATTTCTCCGAGCAATATTCACATACCAAATGAAAAAAGCACAAAAAGCTGCTTTTAAGAAAAAGACTATACACATTCCATTCCCTTCTACCTAAATATAGACATCTCCTTTCAGCAAGTCATCAGTTTTGGTAACATGGACAAAATTTCCCGTAAGACAACATATTCATATCCTTGTCTCATGGAAAAGAAGCTGGTAAATAGCACCATTACCAGAAGTACAATGACTTTTAAAATTATTATCCATGTAAAACATAGCTTCATTCTTAATATCCACTTTTTATGTACCAATTTTTAGGTTGGAGGTAAGGGAGAGGCACATTTATGCATACAAGGAACAGCAAAAATGTTAACAAGACACTTGAAAGTTATATTATGGTTAATCAAGAGATGGAGTGTGGATGACAGAAAGGAGTAAATAAACATAATTATCAAAAAAATTTTGATTTGGAAAAACCAAGTCCCATTTATACACCCACTCCCAGTTTTTCTCTTCCTTCCCTTCCTCCATCCTCCATAATAAGAACACATTAATTTTTGCAGTTAACTAAAATCTGGCCACTGCACCATACTATGAAAATTGCTGCATGCATACCTTTTCCTCTGAGTGCCACTGCTGACCCGAATGTTGGGTGTCTGTGGGCCCTGACTATGCAGGAGGTAAGTGTCTATGGTGGGCACGGTGACTGATGCCTCCCCACTTACTTTAGGGCTGCCGATCTTGCTCTTTCCAAATTTGCCTTTGCTGCGTCGGGACTGCTCATGGTCAAACTCTAAGTCCTCCAGCCGCTGGGTCAGGGCGAGTTTTTGCTGGATAGCCATTCGTAACAAAGTATTTAGAGTCTTCTTCTCATCCTCTGCGGCTGCTAACTGTCTCTGCATCTCACCCAATTGTGTGACATATTCATCACATCTGGAACCAAAACAGAAAAGTAGTCAGGAAAATATCTTGGTGAAACTGAATTTAGAATTTCAGTTGGAATTAATAAATAAATACATTTATTTATTTATTGGCATTTAGATATTTAGAACACTATCTTCCTAGAAGAGAATCAAGGTAACCCACTACAGTAGAAAACTGGAAATAGCAGAGCAGATTAGTAACTGATGGCGCATCTATTCATGGGAACATTCTTAAGCGATGAAATCTTAAAGAGTCATTATGCAGTTGCTCCATGGTGGCAGAAGAATTAACAGTAAAACATCTCAGGTAGTGTTCACAGCATCTTAGATATGCTACGATGGGTTTTTCTACTGTGTTCTTTGGAGGAATGTGACAAGTTTGTTATAGGCTATGCCTATAGCATAGAAAAAAAATAATGTTTATAAAAAAATTTTCTTCTTTATCTATATTTATAGATTTTATTTTAATTGAGTACAGACTGCAGCTGCCACTTCTTTCAATATGGCAAATTTGCCTTAATTAGAAACCTGAATATTTTCAATGATTTCTCAACCAGAAGACAAAGCAATAGATGCCAAAGAAAATCCAGATTTACATAGAATTTGATACAGATAACGGAGGCTGTCAGACATCTTCATTCAGGCTTGAAACTTGTGCTGCAGCAGGAAGATAAGCTCAGTGATCTAGTTTTCCCACCAAAGTTAAAAGCTAAGCACATATGTATTTGGAAGGAAGAATTATTTATACAATTAGTCAGTTTTATGAGTTTACCCACTAAAATAATAATAACGAATACTCTTCATGTGCCAGCAAATAGTTAATAACTGTGGAGTTATCCAAAATGTATTGTATAAACTTTAAAAGCAGCATTTTAAAGAAATAATAAACCCTGTAGTGAAAGAACTTGAGATCTGGGTAGGTCCCTATTTTCTTTAACCTTGAGTGTCGAGAAGCAATTCATTAAAAAAAATTGGGGCTTAGTAAATACAATGTGAATTTTAGGACCTGCATTTATTTTAATTAGTCAGATAGCAATATTAAAAAAAAATACTATGGAGTAAGGCAATTACTATACCCGAAAAAACAAATTTCTGTGACAATGCACTATTTGAGGGTAATAATTCTTATATAACCAGATTAAGAGTTTAAATGTCCCTCTAAAAAGTTTTCTTTTTCAAAGAAAATTTACATTTTCTTGATTCTACATGTAATTCTGACTGATTTCTTTCATCAGTGAGGGGTATGTGCACCATCCTCATTCTCTGTCCTGTTTTCCCTGCTCCAGCACAGTGGCCAGAGGCATGTATATTCTACTCCTCAAACTCTTACCATCCTTGGAGATTCAGAAATCAGTTATGTTCAGCTCCCCCACACCCATGTGGTCCCTCGGGCACTCAGCCTCCTCACCACCATCTCCAAGAGTCAATCACAAACTATAAGCTTAAGTCTTTCTCTCCTAACACCCAAAGAAAGCTAGACAGATTCCCATGCTCCTATAAAACCTAGGATTTTGTTTTACACTTATATCAACTACATGTAAATTTTTTACTGAATCTGCAAATAAAGCAATAGTTATGCTATATGAACTTCGTACCAAGTTTGCATTGTATAAGGCATATAACTGTTTTTGTTTTGGCTCTGAATTGTGGTAGCAAAAAAGGTTACTTTTTGAAAACCTCAGGATTTTTAATGTTTTGAATCAACGCATTCTTAAGAATCACTTGACGTTTAAAAACACAATATAGTGGCACTTCATAATGAAACTGATGGGGGTATAACTAATATTTGTCTAATTAATTAGTTGGGCAATGTGAAAAATTTGGTGATATATAATTACATTTTAGAGGTTTTAAATCGCAGTGATTAACATCTAAGTAAGTAGCTGATATGATGATGAATATTAATCTTCATTATGATGGCACCTTATACAATACTAATGATAAGCACTTTTATGTACTTTAGTCAAAAAGATAAATTTCCATGGTGATAATATTTAGCTATTTTAGCAAGTAGGGTTTTTTTCTTATTGGAGGCTTTTTTAAAAAAAAAAAATCTGATTCTCTAGGAAAAAATATCTATTGTATCTATTTAAAATAATTGTATGTAAAGGAGTTGCTTGATCCAGGGCACCCAGTAGAGGGCTCTCGAAAATAGCAGAAAAGGTTTTATCTCAGATCTGTCAGAGTGGAATCTCATATATTTTCGTCACATCTTACCCTTTTAGATGGCATAGCAAATACACTCAAGATGCAAGAAGATGCACGTATATGAGTTTTAAAGTCTTTTGCCCATGTACCACAGCTAAACTTGGAAGAAAAAATGATTACCTGGTTGCAAACATTGCTCTAAGGGATGAGAAAGTTGCTGCATCTTCTTTCAAAGCCTTCAGTTCATTTCTAAGTTTCGTCATAGTTTCAGTCACCATTGCTTTCTCATTTTCATATTTGTTCTTGAGATTAGCTAGTGCCACTTCAGCTGTCTAAAGCAAAAAAAATCACAACGCTTACAATTTTCATATCAGGAAAATCAATCGTACAGATTTCTTCATGCTGGGTCTATTACTTTCTTCCATAAAGAGAAAACAAAATTGATTTGGTTAAATTTTATGTAAACATATATATGTACTTTGGACATAAGGCCATTTTTCTTTGATGTCAAAACATGTTGTGAATCCATAATGTGGTTAAATTGCCTTAGAAGCCAACTGTGAACAAGAGTCAATACCAGGGGCTAAGCAATTATAGTATTTCATTAAAAATTTAATGTTGATTGTTGAGAGCATGGAATTTTCAGATATGAAGGGAGCCAAAATGAAACTTTATATAAGAAGAATTTTATCAAGAAGTTAGTGAAGAAGTACAGCTTCCAAATGAAATACAATAGAACTCAAAAATTCTTGTGGCACCTGTGCTCCGTCGGCCTGAAATAAATAGAACAAAAGATGTAGGCCCCTGCAATTTATGACATAAATATATGATAAACTACCAATCCATACTTTATGTTTAAGGAAGGAAAAGGTTAACAAAGAACCAATTATTTTCTAAGTCTTTGCGTACAATTTCTTCAAAACAATGAATTATTGTCAAATAATCAAATTGTAAGTCAAATTTAATTCTTCACAATCTCCATAAAAGCAGATTCCAAAATGTTGAATGAATCAAAATATTTATTTAAATCTGGGATTTGGGAATGTCTGAAATTCTTGTAATAGTTTCAAATTGAGAACACAGCCAAACTGGAAACATCCATTTTTAAAAACTGTTAAGTACAGCTTTTCAGACTGTGTAAAAATATTTAATACTAATGAAAAAGTCTGTTACTAATGAGAAAAATCCATTACTAGTGGGATTTCTCAGGAGAACAATGCTGGTCTTTAAAATTTCTTTTTGTGGCTGAAATGGACAGCTTCGACTTTCTTATGAAAGCTCCAAATTCTATAGAGATAAAAAGAATCTTTTTCAACTAAAACAATGTTGGAATGGGTTAGTTTGTTCAAGATTTGATTCCAAAATGGTTTCTTATTAGTTTTGATTTAATTTAAATTCAAATTCAAATGAGAAGTTACCCATAAAAGAGTTCAATGTGGCCTGTAGTGCTTTAACTCAGTGGAATCTTTAGAAATATTATAAATTCAGAAAATTATCCAGAATGCAGAAACTGACCATGGGAAAACTGGCTATTTTTTAAAAAATTGAATTTAGATACATATTCATTTAGAATAGATAGTTGATTTTAAGTGAAAACGTAGGTGTAACGAATTTGTAAGCAGGTGGAGCCACACGGTCAGATACCTAAGCGGAGAATAGTGGGGGGGGACAGAAGAGCAAGATCTCAAATAAAAGTACAAAATTATTTATTATTTGTGAGAAATGCCCCCAAAAGACTAAGCTTTATTGTAGATTTGTTTGTCCACAGACTGCACAGAACTCTTTCAGACTTAAGTAATTTTTAGTATCTATAACCTGTTAGATTTACTGACCTCTGCATTTGCCACATTCTCCACACCCTCTCAAAGTTGACTTTCTAAATAAAAAATTGTTTCCAGCCACAGAGATCTTCAAAATTATTTCCTGAATATATCATCCTATTCTGCACCTCTCTACTGACTGTTCTTTCTGTCTGGAATTATTTCCTCCTCTTCTAGAAAGCAACTTCTTATCCTTCAAGAACAAATTCAAGTAAAATTGCTTCTGTGAAGTTTTTTCCAACTTTTCTGAGATGTTAGTTACTTCCTCTGCAATGTTCCCATTACTTCGATTATAGCATGTATATCAAACTGTAATTATCTGTTTCTATTCTGACATCCCCACTAGTCTGTGAGTCCTCTTCTGGAGAGCAGGGACCATGGATTAGTCTTCTTTGAATCTTTAGCATCTAGTACAGTTTAGTATACAGATGGTACTTCATAAATATTTGCTTATTTCATCAGGAGACACTGTGCCTACAAAACAAAAATCCTAAAGTATATTAAAAGATACGTAGAGAATGCATAATGCCTATTTTAAAATTGAAGATTCCCCTTTTATCCTATACCACGGAATTCTCAGCAAAGCCCTTATAATTAACATTCCACAATGTCTAAATATAATGGATATCATCTATAGATACTTGAAGCTATTTATGGCACATAAACATCACAAAAATAGGCCCCACATCATTAAATTTAAATGCATGGCTAGAAATGCGCTTTTAATTAGTTTACTAAGCCCATAAGGGTTATGATTCTAACAAAATGTAAATGGTAATGCAAACCACTATGAAAATGAAAATTCAGCCAGGAATGCTTTGTTCTGCTCTGAATTTCTATGGCACTGTAAGAAGTATTTTTAAGTGAATGAATGTTAATGCTTTGTTCTGCTCTGAATTTCTATGGCACTGTTTATATCATTCTAAAGTGCTTGATATGTCCTATCTTGTAAATAGTTATAGGCATGTGTTGAACTCCTACTAGATTACTAGCCACTTATTTTTGCATCCCTACTCGCTACCAGCTATAAAATATGTAATCAGTGACTGCTTGATCATTGTCTCTCTTGGCTGATCGGTCATGCTTACCTATACATCTGTGTCAATTATTTATCTTGACATTTTTATAAATCCAGGTTTTTATGTTTTTAATTTCAGCCTTCAGGAAGAAGTCAGAGAAGTTATCTAAATGGCTTGGCCAGGAATGTCCAAGATATTACGTCCTTGATAAAGGCTGTCTAAGTCTTACTTAATGTGGTATTGGTTATTAATAACCACTCTTCATCACTGGTCTTTGGATTATAGTAGTGTTTATGGTAATAACTTCCTACCACAGTGTCTTTTTTGCTTTATTTCCCTTGAGTTAGCTGCTATGCTCGCCTATTCTGCCAGTCCTCCATCTCCTGTTTTCACACTCAGCGATTGCTAGAATCCAGCTAAGTAACTCATGAACTGCCTTTCAGTATCTGCATGGATCTTCTCCTTTGTTCCTGCTTTAACTTCCTCACCTCTACCTCTACCTACTGGAGCACAGTTACTTTCCTATTTCATCCATTCATTCACTTAAAAATACTTCTTACATTCTGATCTGGCACTGGGACATAGTTTGTTTTATTTCTCTGCTGACCAGGAATCTGAACTTTCATCCTGATGATAGCAGACACTCAAAAACATTAAGGAATAAACTAGTTAAGAAAGCATTAACTAGCATGAGTTGTCAGTAGAGTGAGATCACCTGCTTGTTAGCTTTCAACACTGCCCTCAGCGTCGCGATCTGCTCCCGTTTGGTGCTCAGCAGGGACTTGAGCTTGAGAATCTCTTCCATTAAGGCTTCCTTGTCTTTATCAATCATGGGCGCCAGCTCCCGTGCAGCTGCTCTTTGGCGAGACAATTGTAAGGACCGGTCCACAGCTTTCTGCAGATGCTTGATTTGGTCTCGGATTATGGCATTAAGGTTGTAGATATTCATTGGCTCTTTGCGGATGTCACTTGTATCTAATACTGGAGATGATGGTGGGGCAGTAATAACAGGAGAGATTGTGGGGGTCTTGGTTGGACTTGGTTCTTTGCTGGTCTCTGTGTTTTCTTTTGTAACTGGTTCAGAGGAGGTCTTTGTTTCTACTGGGGATGACACACCCCGCCTGGCTAACCGTGGAGACAAAAGTCCCCTGGGATCATCGGGGCCTTTCAGGCTGCCACTACGGGTGACTCTGCTTTGCCTATAGTAGTCCAGCATGACTCTGTTGGGGGTTTCATTATTACACAGGCATACATGGTGGTAAAGCTGAGCTAGCTCCTCACTAAACGTCACCAACTCATCTTGGGCCGTATTAAGGGTATTGTGATTTTCGTTGGCTATGCTGGTCATCTTTTGCAACTCCTTCTCCATGTGGGCCATCTTCTCTCCACTCTCCTTGGTAGTCTTCTCAAGGCTAGTCACCTGCTCATCATACATTTGGATCTTACTCTCATACTTGGTCTTCTCTTCAGTATAGTTTTCTATAGATTTATTATATTTCTCCTTTAAGGCTTTAATTTCAGCTTTCAAATCGATCACCTCAGTTACTGCCACCCTGTATTTGCACTCAAGGATCTCTAAGCCATTGATGTCCACCTCGTAGTCATGGGCCTCCTCCCCCGAGTCCCGGCCTTTCTCCCCGTCCAGCTCAGCTTTAAGCTCCTTACTGTTCTGCAGGCCTCTCATGGCGTTAACGTGTTCTGTGAGCCGGTGCACACGTTCATGCTGCTCCGTCAGTGCCCCCTTGGTATGTTCCAGTTGTGTCTGTGACTCCTGGAGATTGGCCAGAAGAATGGCTTTTTCCCGCTCTACCTGCAATGGCAAAAGAAAGTCTCTGAATGGCTCTAATGCAATGCCATTGATGAACTGAATCCATTCACAGTCGGGGCATATATACATTTAAAATAACTGCAGCAGAGCCAATGTTCCCATTATTCCAAATTAAATTGGAGTGTGTTTACTTACTTCAGCAGTTCTGTTAAGTCAATCAATCTAAAAGTAAATCATTCTAAAAGAACTATGCTATGTATATTTATCCATTCAAATCTCATGCATTATACACATACGCTCATGAAAACTGAATATTACTCAAACAATCTTATTTTTATCTTTTAACACTTTGTAGAAAACATAGAATGACTTCTGGAGATAGTGTCTGGTATTGTCTTCATCTGCTCCTTAATTCATGTGGGATAAGTGATTGTCTCAAGGTTCCTATGAATCATCTTTTCCTTCCCAGAGCTTAACCCAGAAACAGGCTTACAACCTGAAATTTAAACTTACTAAATACTGCTGAGAACCCTAACACTCCACTTAAAAATAAGCATTTAAACCCCCAAATAGACATATAGTAAATTTGATAGCTTTTAACATAAAAATCGGAGAATACAGAGTTTTAGGGCTAAAAGAACAATTTACAAATCATGTCAATCCGTTCAGTCCAAAATAGGAATTTTAAAAATTAGTAGTTAATCTAATATGACAATTTTATTATTATATAGGTGGCATTATTGTATGTTGAAAATATTCAGGTCTCAATATAAAATACTATCTCATTAAACCTAAGTATATAAGAAATTATAATCGGAGAATTTTTAAAACCCTTTTCTGTCTCTCCATATGGGTAATCACTATTATGAATTAAGAGTTCTTATGTTTATAATGTAAACATGTTTTTTTGATAAGCAAATATTTATATTTTAAAGTATAAATGGATTTATGTTGAATGTCTTTACATCTAGAGAAAGTTATCAATTTGAATTTTTAAACTTTCCTGGATCATATATCTCTGCAAATTCTTCTAAATTCCTAAGAGGCAAGTAAAATTATCATAAGTACATAATAAATATCAATTATTAAAATGTAATTAACATTTATTTGAACTAGCACATTAGGAGACACCTACCTGTAAATTTATAATACAGTAGAGTAATAATTTTATGATCCTTTGTGGTACTTGATATTCTTCATATAATTACCATGTACAGACAGTCCTCACTTGGCAAGGTTCTAATATGCATGAATTTCGGTGACATGCTTTAGTTAAAACACCAGTCCCCCCAAAAATACAGTTCAGATTTCAATGTTCAATATATTAACTGTGAGCAATGTATAAAGTGCAATCTTTGCTGCTTCAATCTATAGAATCACTACATAGTAACATCATGACCAATGACTAATCACAAGAGTTCATTCAGTCTGTCAGTGATTGCTCACTGTGTATTTATTATTCAGTTCACTCACAGACAGCAAAGTATGTAATTGTACTGTCTTCTTGTCTCCCAGTGAGAAACCCACACGATGTTTTACAAAGACAGATAATCCAAAAGGGGAATTGGCAAAGGAATGAGAAAGGAAGAGAGGGAGGAAGGGAGGGAGGACAGCAAAAAAACAAAGTGAAAATGTTGGAAGTGAAATTTGAATTAAACATAAATGGAGTTATAGCATCAACAGTCGCATGAAGGAATGTGAACACTGATGCTGTTTGAAGGACTTTAGACTTTAGATAACGAGGCCAAAGCAACTTGGCAAGGGAGAATGTATTGACATAAAGGAAAAAAGTAGTTGTTACAAAAAGGATGAAAATGTCCTAAAGGAAGTGGTACCGGCACACTAAAGATACTCTCAGAGATAATTTCAGACATTGAAAGTACAAAGGATAAAATATTGGAAGCTGATCCAAATTTAGATAGGAGTATAAAACTTGCCAAAGCATAGAAAAAATTCTCACTCAGTATCATGAGTTATATTATGAGAAGAGGACACGTTCAAACTACTTTTAATATTACCTGTTTTTTTTGGAGGGGGAGTAAATTTTTATTTCAAAGGTAAGTCTGTTTCACAAAGAAAACTTTATGTTTCTATTTTTAGCTTACAGTGTACTAAGTAGTTTTACTACTTTTCATTTCTCTTTACATGTATAACCAACAGTGAGAGTTTTTAATGTTTTGACAAACAATTTTTAAAGCTCATAGAACAGTTATAATTTTCTCCACTAATTATTAAGTTTGTTTTGCATGGTTTCAGCTTGCACAATTATATTTATGGACTCGCAATCATATTTATGGACCCACAATATCATGCAAAGCAAGAATTGCCTGTATAGTATGGTCACATGTATTAGAACTTAAAATATAGTTTTGTAATTTTGAATTATTATTTGGAGGCTCTTAAATTGTGACTTTGATTTCCTGACATAATGCCTTCCCGTATCTACAACAGGAACACAGTTTGTAGCTACAGAAACTAAAATATTCCAAAATAATAGTATTATAGGTTAAAAACAGAACAAAACAAGACAAAACCCCCCAAAAAACCAAACAAACCAAAAATACGAGGCTGCAGCATCAGAAAACTCGAGTCAAAGTTTGGCACCAACATTTACTTAGCTATGTGACTCAGCAAACTTCAGTTTCATAATCTAAAAAGGAGCACAGTAATGCCTGCCTCATAGGGGCATTTTCATGAAAAAGCAAGTTAGTGTTTAATGCTCAAGGTATTATAACATTAGCTGTTGATAACACTGGAGTAACTGTGGCCCAATTTCCATGACCAAAATGATTCTACATGGCAAACACAGCTGTTTTCATAAATTTTTATATGTATATGCAAAAGCAACTCTTTCATTTCAGTGTCAAGATATATTTGAATACAAATCCATTTAGCTTGGTTTCATTAGATATAAAAGGTTATATCTCCATAACTACAGATGAATTGACTTATCCAGACAACTAGGCAATAATTTTAAGTGAAAACCCTAGATAATTATGTAATATAGTATTTGATGAAAAGCCAAGTCATTTCAATTTTTGCTAAAGGAGACGGAAAATCTCAATATTCTATTATTGGTATTATATACAATCTCAATGAAAATAGATTATTTTGAGAGTTTTATTGTTTTTCTTTTTCTCTTGAAAATTAAGTGAATTTGCTCTGAAAAGTCTAAACATCATTTTATTAGTATATATGACAACAACAAACAAAGTTACTTCCAAAACACCCTTTAATAGGAAAAGCCTTAAAATAAAATTAAAATTAAAATTAGACCAGAGCAAAATGTACTCAATGTGTTTCAATCTTGTTTAAGAGGCAAAAGTGTTATGATGAATGAGGTAATGCCTTTAGGCAGTTTTGATCTGTATTCTGCCAATTCAGATTGAATATAAGCATTTTCTAAATCTAAAAGGGTAAATCTATCAATTTCTTCATGATAGTACCGCCAGAATACATCAAATAGAACATTGTCTCTTTTGTGTGTGTATGCTCCGCATACAGTGCTAATTTCCACACTCAATACATTTCTGGTGGAATCACTTGAATACGGAATGGTATCCAAATATTACACACACACACACACACACACACACGTGTATTTCCAGACACTTAAGGTTAGTCTCATCGAAAAAAAATTACTAAATTGTAAAATTTTAAGTGTACTATTTTAGTCTCCATTTATGAAGAACCTATCCAAGAGAGACTTGTTGAGTTAATTATAATTGTCTATAGTGACTAAGAATAGTTGCCTTATTTCTCATTCTACAATCTTCACCTTCTATCTGGAACTGAGAATTTTAGTGTTTATGGTAGAATGATTGTTTTGCCAGAAAACCTAAATACTGAATTTGTTCACTGTTTAGTCCAGTGTAAGTATATAATATATACTATTATTGTTACTATTATATCACATAAAAATTATTTTTAATTTCATAGAATGTTTACCTTTTCAATAAATACATTTATGTATATTGAGAAAACATAGAGTCTTTTGTGAAGAACTAAGAAAAATATATCCAGAATTTGCATATTCACATTAGGACTTCTATAGGAAAAGAAATCAAAGCTGTTTTATAAGCTATTAATCTCCACAGTCTTTATTTTGGTCATTTGACTCTCAATTTGACTTGAAATGACTGGCACGATTCTTGTAATGGTATATATATAGTATCAATATATACAACTATAACTTAGAAATAAATAATTTATTCTTCTCTGCTTGAAGTGAAGTAACTCTGGCAATGCCTATCTGTGCCATGACAAAAGAGAACCGTGGAAAAACTCACCATAGAACTAAAAAACACTAGGTGAAAGGAGTACATTTGGGAGAGTGAGGTGAAAAGAAACTCTCTTGCATTTTCTAATGCACAAGCACAAATGCAAAAGTCAGTCAGCTGGAAAAGACTCAGAAAAAAACCAGAAGGGAAGGGACTCTTTTCAACTTATTCTATCACACCAGTATTACTCTGACACCAAAACAAGAAAAGACATCACAAGGAAACTACAGACCAATATCTCTTATGAATATAATAAATACAAAAATCCTCAACAAAATAGTAGCAAACTGAATCCAAGAACATATAAAAAAGATTCGAAAATTTGGGATTTATCCTGGGAATGCAATGTTTATTTAACATCCAAAAATCAATAAATTTAACACACTGTATTAACAGACTATAAGACAAAAACCACATGATCATCTGAATATATACAGAAAAAGCATTTGACAAAATTCAATACCCCTTCATGACAAAATTCAATACCCCTTCATGAGCAAAACATCTAGAAATAGAAGAGAACTTCCTTAACCTAATACAGGGTATCTATGACACACTCACAGAGAACATACTTAATGATGAATGTATTCCTCCTAAGATCAGGAACAAGACAAAGATAAATACTCCTGCTACTTTTATTCAACATTATACTAGATGTTCTAGCCTGAGCAATAAAGCTACAATCAAAAGGCAAATAACAAGTATTAGTGAGGATGTGGAAAAATCAAAATCCTCATACACTGGTAGTAGAGATGTAAAATGGTGCAGCTGCTTTGGAAAACAGTCTGGTAGTTCCTTAGGTGAAACACAGGATTACCACATGGCCCAGTAATTCCGCTTCTAGGTACATACCCAAGACAATCAAAACATATGTGCACACAAAAACTTGTATATGAATGTTCATAGCAGCATTATTCATGATAGCCAAAAAACCGAAACAACTCAAATGTCCATCACTGATAAATGAATAAACAAAATGTGGTATGTCCGTGCAATGAAATATTATTTGGTAATAAAAAGGAATGAAGTACTAATACATGTTACAACATGGATGAACCTCAATCATGAAATGCTAAGTGAAAAAAAGTCACGCACAAAAGATATCATATTATATAATTCCATTTATAGAAAATGTTTAGAATAGACAAATCTACCAAGAAAGAAGGCAAATTAGTGGTTACCTGGGATAGTGGGTTCTGAGAAATGGGGAGTGGCTGCTAATGGGTATATTGTTTCTTTTTGGGGTGATGAAAATATTCTAAAATTGATTGTGGCGATGGTTGCATAGCTCTGTGAATATACTAAAAACCACTGGATTATACTCTTTAAATAGATGGGTTGTGTGGTATATGAATTATGTCTCCATAAAGCTCTTAAGAAAATCTATAGAGACTCTTCCCTTGATTATTGTGATTCCAGATATTCTTTTTAGGTTTACTGATAGTAGAAAAGTAAGGCTTCTTAGATATGTTTTGCCAATAGAACTTTTACAAAGGTAATCTTTGGCTATAAAGCCCGTAATATTTTAACTACTTAAGTTATCAACTTTGTACTAGGAAAATTATATTTGACACTTTAAGTTTTAAAAAACCAGGAACTGACCAATCTTGTTTTAATTAATTTTACTCCATCAATATTCTGTCTTTGTTAAGAAGAGATAACATTTGATTTATTTGACTCTCTTTCTGTGTAGCAAGTCCACTTACTAGGTTTTTGACTTTGAGTAAATTATATAACATATTTGTGCCTCAGTTTGCCTATCTGTAAAATGAAGATAATAATACTATTTACCACATACAGTTGCTATAATCATCAACCAATTAAGCAAATATATAGAAATAAATTGATTTGAACTCTTACGATCATATAGCGAATTGACCACTTACCATCATCAGAGGAAAAATCAAAATTGTCTTTAATAGAGTAGATCTAAACACAATATGAATAGTTATTCCACATCCAGGAGCATACAACAAGACACATCAATTTCAGCTTTATAGAAACATGACTGTTTTCTCACATTACATGTGAAATTATATATCTATTGTGATACTGAAAAAAAATCCAAAGACTTCTGCTTAGATTGACTCTCTGTGATGTGAAGTTAAACAGAGGCTATTTATCAAAGGCAAAAATTTTGGCACAAGCATAGAGATTTCTTTAAATAGATTAAGAAACTTAGTTTTTACAGACAGGATCTACTTCTTTTCATTCTAATAAAACTGATTAAGGTACTTGACTATCACTGGAAAATGTCAATTATAATCTATTGGAAATAACTGAGTCTTGAGGGCACCAAAAAGCCAAAATAATTTCTCCAACAATATCCTGAAAAATTTCTTAGTAAATAAAGAAAAACATTAATTGAGCTGTTCACTATCAAAGTCTATTGTCAAGTTTATAGAGACTTTTAGGTGAATAAAATGTTTTCTTATATGTATTTTTCATATATATATATTAATTTATATGCATCTGTGTTAGTGAAAATTAGTATAATTGGCTAAATTTAAAATATTTCTGTAATTTATTTCATACCCTAGGAAGGAACACAGTTCAGTAAAATACTCACTTTGATTCGCTCTGGGAAAAAAGCACATCCTAATTTAGATATAGGCTTACCGTCCCTTGCCTTTTCCTCTACTTTCTAGGCTTTATGTATTGACTTTATATAAAGTGAAAGTGGTAATGACGTCATAAACTGATGGCAATTTCCAATACAATAATAATAACATAAACTTTTGTGACTTACACATGGTTTCATATTGACCATCCCATTCAGTCTTCACAACTCTACAAAGGAGGTATGAGATTCTCACCAGGGCTACGACGTAATCATCTGCAGGTTGTATACCATACAACGCTAAGGGGCACCATTAAGTTAAAGTTGTAAATTTTTATATTTATTATTACCACTTCCCAGCAGATGGCAGTATGATATCTTAAAGAAGGGACCTCCTTTTTTTCTAATTTCGTAAAGGCATTGTAGAAACTAGTAATGGGGCTAATTTATTATCTTCCCCCTTATGAATGCATCTCAGATGGAAGCAACTCACTCAACATTCCTGAAACCCAAGGCAGAGACATAGTTTTTTTTTCTTTCGTAACTACACAAAAACTTCATTTCTTTAGTATGACTTTTTCCTTAATTCAAGCTAGCTTTGTTCAGTCTAATAGAACTATGACTCACTTGCTTTCTTCCACAGACTCTTCCACCTTTGCGCATACTCCACCATCTACTTCCTTAATCATTAAGCCCTTAGGACAGTAGGTTCTGGTCAGCATCAAACTCTCTTAAATATAAAGCCCTGCGTCTATCGACCATGACAAAGATACAATAACCAGACCCCAATCTAGAGCAAAGTTTCAGTCAAACTGAAGATAATATCTCGACCTCAATTATGTTTCAGCCCTGGACTCATGAAAGTGGAATGACCCTACTGACCACATCCTCATGAAACCAGACAGAACGACGCCATGGCTGAATCAGCACCTGATTCAATGATCAACTGCCTCCTACCTTAGCCTGACTAATCAGCAGAGCCCAGGACCCCAACTCCCTTAGCTACCATGACTAATGATTTTTTCCTATATAATCTATTCTGTAGAGGCCATTGAGCAGCCAAGTCTTTGAGCACTAGCTCAGCTCACCTGTGTCTCTGGGCTTGGTGCCAATCCCCTAAATAAACCTTTCCTTTCTTAACTCCAAACTCCTATTCCTGTCTCGTTTGGCTTTGATGTGCACAGGCAAACAAATTCCTTTGGTTCAGTAACATTTTTCAGAACCAGATTAAGTAAATACCCATAGATGAAAAAAACATAATTTACTTGCATAGACAGAGCCTTATAAGACAGGAAAAGGCTTTGGACTGGGTATGCTGTTTTCAAAGGGTTTCTTTAATCCTAAGGAAGAGAATCTTAAAAACTGCATATTCCTGGTATAGGGTGTTATATTCCTGGCTGCATCCCTTGACATCTTTACAAACTCAACATTAACTAAGCCCACTGATTTGAAGGCAGCTTTTTCCCAAATTCAGTGCTTTGTATCCTGGCCAAAAGAAATTCTAAGAGAAAAGAGAACTATAAAAATACAAACTCTCATATCCAAAGTATGCTGATATCATAAGCTGAAGTACACAAAATTGAGAGTTGCCTAATAGTACAACAATTGCTATACTAATGACAGCCACACTCTCAAACTCTAAGGTGGCTTTAAATAGAAGTTTTATCATAACTTATTTGGTGGCAATATTAAGACATTCCTAAACTCCCTGAGCAGCAAAACTGTACCTGAGTGATATAAGGCCTTTCACGGTCCTCATTTTTTCTTCTTAGTGTGACTACTCACATATTTTGGTACATAAATGTTCATATTATTCAATAATTCAGTGCTGCACCTGGGAGAGAAGAGTTTGCCACTCCAAAATATGCCTTTTTTAGAATATTGATTATTTTAAGCTGGTTATTTTTAGGAAACAAAACAAGAGCCTCTTACCTCCCACTTACCTGCCTAAAGGAATTCAGATAGAAAAATCAGCTCCAGGAAGAGAGCTACCACCTTAGCAAAGCCTGTTTGTTAGACAACCCTCTGTTTCCCATTATTTGTTTACCACGTATTTGCTCTTCCTCATCTATCTGTGAAATGCCTACTTCCCCTTGGAAATCCCTGACCCTTGCCTCTCTTTCCTTATTCCAGAATGGCATATAAGCCTCAACTGCCCCATTTGTCCTTGGGTCTCATATTCTTATGGAACCTCCATATGTACACATGTAATAAATTTGTTTTTTTTCTCCTGTTAATCTGTCTACGTCAATTTAATCCTTAGGTCAGTCAGAAAAACTAAGAGGGAAAAGAGAGGATATTTCTCCCTCTCCTACACTATCAACCTACTTATATTAGTGTAAACCAAGCAAAAAGACACAGGAAAGTATAATCTATTCAGAACTGGACTTTGCAGTCAGGTAAAAGTCTGTATGTAATTCATTTTCTCCCAGTGGCCATGCCCTCTTATCTTGATTCAAATTAAATATGGTGAAAACATATTCTCTTTTAGCAGCCAAAAGCACCGGGCAGATGAAGTGCAGGATATGTTGACTCCTGATGTACTATTAAAAGTAAATCTCATAATAAATTAACTTCATTGGTTCTATAGCCTATTATTTATTTATGCTAATTTCATTTTTTATTCATCATTTCTGTAGAGGTAGAAATAGCACTGTTTGCTATAAAAATGACTGTCAGAGTCTTAGCCTCTATCAGCTATATGCAAAGAACCTTGAAGATTAAGTCTCAAAATTAATCACCTAATAAGTTTGTTGAACCAGATTCCTGGTTCAGTAGATTTGTGTGGAGCCCAATAATTTGTAGTTCTATGAAGCTCCCAGGTAATGGTGATGGTGATGATACTGTTCCTCAGACAAGATTTCAATTAGCACTGGACTAAGGTACGGAAAGGAGGCAAGACTCTAGAAAGCATTTCACAATGAGACAAGCTTAAATGTGGGATCTTTCACAAGACATTTGATTTGATGATACCAAAAATTTAAGGCCTAGTTTATGTTGGAATAAGAACTCCTTGGTTTCAGATTTATACCTGCACTGTATTTTTAATTATATGGTATCCTGGCTAGTTAGCATATACAAAGTCCTTCATACTTTTTAAAGCTTAAGTATTGCTGTGAAGTGTAACCATTATTCCTGAAGTTATACATACAGTTGCTTGTGATGAAAAAGTTCATTTTCTGTCATTTCACTTGCATATAAAATTTTTGAATTCTTGTATTAGCCAGACATGCATCAAGATGCTTGCTGTCTTTTCTCTCTTCATACATGACTGCAATTTAATTTGTGGCTCTAAGAGATAAATTTCTTAAAGCAATGCAAATGGCATATTTCTCTTCCACATTTCGTGAGAGGATATTTTAAATTCTCCCTGATTTCTTGGAACCCGACGCTTCCTTCTGCCTGGATTCCTCTCTGATCCTTATATTCATGAATATTTCACATTTACTTTCCCTGATTACATTTCCATGTGATTGTCATGGTGCATTGGCTGCATTTCTCGGGGAAGACAGATAGGAAACCCATAGTAAAGGCTTGAGTTTGCAGGCACAGTGCCAGAGATCTTTGTTCTTGCCACTAAGATGGTCTTCTCTCATGGACAGTGATAGGGGAGATGCTGAATGGTGGGCTTTGCAAGAGACCTCTCAGTCTAGGGCTTTGCACCATGGCTCTTGACCCAAAGGGACTAGCAGTTTCAGTCAGGGATCAAAGGGCACCAGGACCTGCCCTGTAGCCTTGAGGATCACATGTGGGTCCCTGTGACCAGAGTTGCTCAACAGCTTTCCAGTCCCCAGCCAGGCCTTGTCTTTCCTGTAGTCTCCCTCCAATGTTACCATTGCTGCCAAGTACCTCCAGCCTGAGAGAAGAAACTCTGATGAACTCATCTGTACTGAGGAGGGAAAAGTTAGCCCCAAATGCCTGAGAGCTTGTGTTTTAAAAATCAGCACAGGAAAAGAACAGTGAGGCTTAACACTTCCTATTAGGCAGTCTAGTGCTGCGATCCCCAACCTTTTTGGCACCAGGGACTGGTGCTCCAATGAGACTCTTAATGCCTGATGATCTGAGAAGGAGCTGAGGAGGTGATGCTAGCACTGGGGAGCAGCTGCAAATACAGATAAAGCTTCACTCGCCTGCTGCTCACCTCCTGCTATGCAGCCCGGTTCCTAACAGGACCCATATCAGTCTGCGGCCCGGAATCAGGGACCTCTGCTCTAGTGGACCCACTCATTTAAAAAAAAAAATCAAAACATTAGTCCACAAAAGTATCTTTAAAAGCACACTGTGTATACACTGTGAAGGTAACACAGAATGGTTTCTTTACAAATTATATATATATATAAATTCAATTTTTAGCAGAGATGAAAAAGGTACCCATTTTAGAATTTCTTTAATGGGGTTCAGTGGTCAAAAGGGTGCACTATTAGCCTAATAAATCAGGGATTTTTTTCTTTTATAATTGTTTATGAGACTATTCATAACCAAGAGAAGATTTTATTATCACTATTACTTACTTTTATTTAATTATTAATAATGAGGAAATGTTAATACCCAGAGAGAAATTAGTTAAAAGATCACGATAAGAACATATTCTCAATGAAATATGTTCAAGAGTAAGATGAAGAAGCAAAGAAACATTTTATGTGCTTAAGGGTAAAATCTGGAAAAACTGTACCAATTATCCAATAACAGTTATACATATATTGTGATCAATGTAATATTCTTTTGAATTATATCAAAAAAGAGCCTGCTCAAACATTTTCTCGATCATGAAAGCCCACAAGTAAAAGAGATTCCTACTCTAAACCAACATGCCTTCTTTGGGGCCTTTCCCAAGGCACCTATCACCTTCCACTTTTCAGTAAATATTTCATGTCCACGACTACACTGTAATCTCCTTAGAAAGAAGAAATCCTTTTTATGCATCTAGGTGTCATCCAATGTTTCTTCATAGTGCTTCCACAGAATTCTACTCAGCAATAAGCATTTTCTGAATAAACTAGTGTGAATAACAATAAATAAACTAGAAAAAGTAATAAAGTCATGATATAAGATACTAATATAAACGTGTTTAGTTGTAATTTATTTTAGTGTTTATATTAGTTTAAACTTGTGTTTAAAAAAAGATCTTAAAATCTAAAAAATAGGGATCATAGACCATTATCATTTTCATATATTTCTATTTCTCCTTATCCCCACCCCTCTTCTTCACATAATCTCAAAGCAAGGGTTTGTCTTGCAAAAGTTAGGATAACAGTTTTCAATATAGGTTTAGTTAGGATATAGGTTTGGCTGATTAAACA